CTGTAATGGTAGATTCTATGCCTCAAAAGGGGATTTATAAGATGAGACCCGAGGGCTAACTAGCTCTAGAAATCCACCAAAAAGATGGAATCAAGGAGGAATGCTAATCAAAACACCCTAGACCAAAAATTAAAACCAACTAGAATAGGGTCCAAGCACTTGGCAGTGTCAATAACATTTGAAATCGACATGCTTGGAGCCTAATCCAAACAAAAACTATAAACTCCAAGAAGTGAAGACTAGAACTCCGAGAATAACCACACCTACACTATAAACTAACAACACATACCTACACTACAATAAAATACTACCTTCCCAACTCAATCCAGCACACGGACAAATTCCCTCAACAACCAAACCCCACAATCAAAACCGCAATCAAAAACCAAAGAGAGAGAGAGCAGGACCCCAGACCTAAAACTCCAACTATTAACAGCTAGTCAGATCTGACAAGAAGAAAACCTCAGCCCAGGTTTGAGCTCTCGAAGCCATCAACGGGAGGGAAAAGAACATCTAAGGAGAAGACTCAATGAGCCACGCCGGAGGAGCCCTAAACTGAGGTTCAGGAGGGACCAAAGCAGCGCGCGACTGAGCGAGAGTCACCGACTAGACTCAAGCTGACGAATGGAAGGCCAAGGACGCTCTAACGGGCAAGCCCGGGGTTGGAGGCAAAACGGCAACACGGCGGCACCAACCTTGGCCGGAGAGAGGGGCTGCACGGCTACCCAGACTCCCTCAAGGGCTGAAGTGTGAATTGTGATTAACTATTTCTTCAAAGATAAAAAACTTTTTTCTTCTTTTTTCTTTTAATATTATTTTTATCCATTTTTTATTAATTTAAATTTATTAGTTGATAAGCATACCCAATTATTCTATCATCTTATATTGTTTCTTTAGTTTTACTATTGAGTTCTAACACATTATAAAGTATTTCATATATCCATTCATAATTTAGCCTAGGGTGTTTTGAACCGCGTTGAGCTAAGTGTAAATGCATCATAATTTTTGAGTAATGCTATAAAGTCCACTTGGGTTACAACTCAAGTATAAATACATTGTTTTTTAATTTTTTGATGATGCATTTATGTTTGAGTCGTAAATCAAGTTGTCATCCAAATTAGCTAAATAACATTACTCGTTTTATATTTAAGTTCGAATTTGTTTAATAAATGAGTCGGTTAGGGTTGTCTATATATATAATAAGCTTAACTCTTTAAAATATTTAAAAACTCCACTCATTTAATAAATTTAAAATTCTAAACAATATAGGACTTGATTGTTTTGGATAAGCGTTTATGTAACTCGAGTGCACCTTATATAGGACTTGATTCTAAACAATATAAAAACTCCACCCAAAAATATCTAAACTAAACCTCCTCAATGGGTACGAGTTTATGTAACAATGGATAAGCGTTTATGTAACTCGAGTTTTGACATTTGTTCGAAATGGTATCTTGAAAATGCATGTGCATCTTATTTAAGCCAATTGTAATGATTTGACTGGGTAAATAGATCAATATTTGAAATTTTAATCCACCAAATTTCAGTTCCCACCCAATTAAAAAGTTAATTAATTCCTTAAATCAGTGTAAGAGTTGTTTTTTTAATCACGTTGATAAAGACTTTCCAATTATAAATTAGTTGGCTTACAATGTGTGATGTGATGGCCTTTCTTGTTTGAGTTGTAATGTTACCCATAGGTTGGTTAAGTAGCGAAATAATTTCGTAGCTTTTAAACAATTTTCATTATGTTGGGTGATTAGTAATTGAGATTTAAGTGAAAGGCCCCTCACAACTAATAAGATATTTGAATTAACTTTCCACTATATGCAGTGATAATTTTTATATGAAACAAATGTTCTTCTCATATATTATATTTATGACCCCCTTTTTTTTACCTAAACCTTGAGGATTACCTATGTTATACTTAACTTTAGTTGGTTATAACGGTAAAACTATTGTTAATTTGTAGGATAGACAAGTACAATTTTAATAACAATGTATACTTTTGCTTTTTCGAAAAATATTATACTTCAATTACCACTTAACACCCAACGACACTGAACTTTAGTTGGTTATAAGAGCATCTTCAATGGTATCTTGTCCATTTTGAGTTGCATGGCATGAAGGAAGGAGATTAAGAAATTGTGTCTCCAATGGTTAATGTTAAAGATGGTTTAATTTGACATGTGTAAATTTCTAATTGGTTGAAAAAAAGAAATAAATTGAATAATAATATAATATGTAGTAGAAGTTGTCTAGAAGTACTTCTACATCTAGAAAGACTTCTAGAAATTTTTTAGGCCACGTAGGTTTTCTTGTGTCATGTGGCAACAAAATGAGGCAATCCACATGTCATTGGAGATGCTCTAACGGTCAACTCATCACACTTTTTTTAAACAAAAATACATACTCAATTATGAAATGTTATATTTTTGTTTTTGTTGTTTTTTATAGTATGATATTTTATTTTAATAGTATGCATACTTGTTGAAAAAATATGACCGTTTAACTTTTGACCATATCCAACAACTGTCTTACTGAATTATATCGGGTCGACCCGACTAACCGTTATTTGTGTCTTTATAGTAATCCCCTATAGCTAACTACCAAATTCTTGACATTGTACTAACTAAACCAAGCCTCAAACATTATATGTTACTTTCTAACTAGTATTCGACCTTGTGCATTTGCACAGATATAAATAAAATTAAATATTATAAGTTATATTTATGTATATAATATAAAAATTATAAGTTATATAATTGTATTAAATTTAAAACATATAGTATTATAAGTTATTTTTATGTATATAATATTAAAATTATAAATTATATAATAGTTGATCATTGGTTAAAATAAATAGTACACACGATTTGATTGTATACGAATCACTATAGTGATTGCATAAAATGCAATAAATATATACCTTTTATAATTTTGAGTGATCATAACCAATTAATTAGCTGAAAAATATTACATTTATTATAACAATTGCTTATGTGATTTTAAGAAATTTTACTATAACATAAAAAAATTAATTTATTAATAAACAACATCTTCATCATATAAAAAAATATTGATTTTAGTGTAAAATATAATTTTATGTAACTTTCATATATTATTTAGTATAAAATATAATTACTAATTTTAATATTAACTATTATATTATTCAATAAAAAATATAATTATTAATCAATTAACATAAAATATAATGATTTTTGTCTTAATTAATCCAAAAAATGTAATGAAATATTTTCTTATTAATGAGATTGGGTGTATTAATGCGACATAAATAAAATTTATTAAGTTCTATTTATTAGGTTTTATTAATGATTTGCCACATAGGTAAAATTTATTAGGTTTTATTTATTAGGTAAAATTTATTGCTTAG